CCACCTAATTTGTGAACGGAAATTATTGCGGAATCGAAACTTTTTAAATACAGTAAAACCCCGATTTACCGCGGAGTTTGGGGGAAAGGAAACATCCGCGGTAAATCGGGGTTCGTGGTAAATCGGGGTTTTGTTTGTTTACATTATACTAATTGTATCGATGTAAATACGTTTGGTCAAAGAAGAGTCAACCTAAAAGTAACAATTACATGGTAGTTCAGTACACTAATAAATATGTTGAGGATATCAACCTTAACAAGATCCTGAAATCATTCTCAGACATGCAGACTTCCTCAAGTCTCATGGAATTAAAATCAAGTCTGAGAATAGAAAGCTTCCATATCTGTATGGTACGACAAAAATGCACAAGGACCCTATTAAATTTCGATTCATTACATCTGGAAGAAATAGTTCCTTGCAGCAGTTGTCTGTAGCTGTTGGATTATGTTTGAAAACGTGTCTGAAAGTTGCTAAAAATTATTCTGGGATTAATCTTACTTCGGAATATGTATTTTAGCATGACGTGTCATTCTTTTTGTTAGTTCGTTTTCAATTTTTGATCTTAATTTTAATTTTCAGTACGTTTTACCTAACAATATCATTTTTTAGCTAGCAGAATGGTTTTCAGAGGGCATTAATGAAATGTACTATGAGCTGGTCCCAAGTCCAGACGCCATTTTATTCTTTGTAATTTTCAATAACACTGTCTAGTCATTGACTACTGAATATACATGGAAACATATGTGGTCATAAGCTATCTATATTATACATTGCACATCGTTTATTAATTGTAATTAAAGCAAGTCATTGAATGTTTTATCTGGCAACAGTTATAGTGTGCACATAAAAATTCGCCCAAACTTGCTCAGATTAATTGTCTTATAGCCATGTAACTATCTGGAAAGTTTAAAGAACTTCTATCAGTTAGATCTTGAGATAATCGACTTTCGTCAAATATCGTACCAAAACCGCCAATTTGAGATATTTTAATGTGTTTGAAGTCATATCTCAAGTTTGGCTCATAAAAATTCGCACAAACTTGCTCAGATTAATCGTCTTATAACCATGTAACTATCTGGAAAGTTTTAACAAATTCTATCAGTTAGATCTCAAAATATATGCCCGCGTTCCGCTAGAACGCACCAATTTGAGATATTTTCTTGTGTTTGAAGTTATATCTCAAATTTGGCATATAGAAATTCGCTCAAACTTGCTCATATTGTCTGTCTTATAGCCATGTAACTATTTGGAAAGTTTTAAAAAATTCTATCAGTAAGATCTTGAGATAATCGACTTTCGTCAAATATCGTACCAAAACTGCCAATTTGAGATATTTTAATGTGTTTGAAGTCATATCTCAAGTTTGGCACATATAAATTCGCCCAAACTTGCTCAGATTAATCGTCTTATAGCCATGTAACTATCTGGGGGGGGGGGGGGGGGGGAGCCAAGTAGATATTTGTAGATATTTGTAGATTAATGTAGAATGGATAATCCACGAAAAAAGTGGTTGACATTCTACAAATTTATACATTTATCTCCAAAAATTCAGTAGAATTTCTGGGCACATATTTGAAAATATGGGCACTATCTGGAAACTTTAAAGTCAGGGTCAGATCAGGATCAGGATCAGGATCAGGGTCAGGGTCAGGGTCAGGGTCAGGGTCAGGGTCAGGGTCAGGGTCAGGGTCAGGGTCAGGGTCAGGGTCAGGGTCAGGGTCAGGGTCAGGGTCAGGGTCAGGGTCAGGGTCAGGGTCAGGGTCAGGGTCAGGGTCAGGGTCAGGGTCAGGGTCAGGGTCAGGGTCAGGGTCAGGGTCAGGGTCAGGGTCAGGGTCAGGGTCAGGGTCAGGGTCAGGGTCAGGGTCAGGGTCAGGGTCAGGGTCAGGGTCAGGGTCAGGGTCAGGGTCAGGGTCAGGGTCAGGGTCAGGGTCAGGGTCAGGGTCAGGGTCAGGGTCAGGGTCAGGGTCAGGGTCAGGGTCACGGTCAGGGCCAGGGTCAGGGTCAGGGTCAGGGTCAGGGTCAGGGTCAGGGTCAGGGTCAGGGTCAGGGTCAGGGTCAGGGTTAATTGTCGCCCACCCATTTTACCATGGAAACATGTAGTTATAAGCTATCTATATATAGTATTATCTATATATAATATTATACATTGCACATCGTTTATTAATTGTAATTAAAGCAACTCATTGAATGTTTTATCTGGCAACAGTTATTATACATAGTGTGCACTGAGTAGGAATGTGAGTATGCATTTTTTGTACTTATTAACGGTGAATCTTAACGTGGGCTAATTTTATTTGGTGATATCAATTATTTCATAGCCAAACTGGGGAAGGTTAAATAAAACAAGTTGTAATTAAATTAAATTAGCTGATAGTAGAAACTTTTCGCAAATAAACTGTGAACAGTGAACAGTGAACACATATAATTTGAGAGAGAATTGATTCGTTCACCGGACGCATACATTATACTGTCCAGAGATATTATGGGAGGTTCAAGCTTCTTTGAACTTTTGAAAAGTAGCAAAAATTGAGAAAAATTGATAATCTAGGAGGGGATAGGGAGTTGGTTCAAACATATAAGTAATAAATCATGTTTTATTTTGCAGAATTATACAATATGCATATGTTATCGTCTTCGACTATAAGGGATGATGGGGCGATGACGTGATTATAATTATATATGATAAAGTTCCAGGTGGTGACTAATTGAAGGCGTGTAAGTGTGAGGATGAAGAATCAGCCTTGATGCATGAGCTGGAAGGGTGAACGAGGTAAAAATATGTACATGGTACAATTTCATAGAAACTGAGAACAAAAATCCTTTACATCAGTACAGACCGATATGCTTGCCTTCAATTACAAACCTTGCTTTAAAAATGATATTGTTATTCAAGTTAAAAGCCTTCGAAGTTTTTTAATAAACTATCGCATGATATTGTATATCAATCAAATTGCAACTCTTAAGTTAACTTGTTGTTTAATTGTATTACTGAGTCATAAATGAACACTTGTAGTACGTACCTATATGGCGGTTGATCTGCAACTTGTCCCATGCTGATGAACCTGATAATTAAAACAATTTTAACTTCTGAAGGCGGCTCTGTATCATTCTACATTCTGACAACAGTCCTTCTATGCTATGTCAACAATTTTAAAACCTAATCATTCAACTAATAGGATTTCAAGGTATTACACAAGTGGCAATGATGAATCATGGATGATAATTGATTATTGACGAAACTCGACAAGCAAGTTTGAAACCCAAAGTAAGAAATCGGGATCAAATATGATTGACACGTAACGCGCGCGTATAACATGTGCTTATCCAATGCGAAACTAAAAGTGGTGAAAATGGAAGAATCGACTGTAGAGTGATTTAGCGCGACCGAGCTTGTCACGTGACCAAAACGGTTTTTTGCCCATAACTCTCCGTGGAAGCATTTTTACCCTACGTCATGTGGGGTGATTCGGAATCAGCGTCCAAAAATACACTAATTTAGATCAATGTCACACTTACCTGGGGACCTCAGGCTATTATGTTCATAATTTAAACGATCAATAGAGATTCGGCGGAATGACAGGCTGAGCCGGTAAGCGCGGCCCAGTAATTTTACATCCGAAGGGCCTTTTCACAAGAATTTTCTTACCTGGGGACCTCAGGCTATCATGTTCATTAACATATAGAGATTCGGCGGAATAACAGGTTCAAGGTTGAGCGCGGCCCAGTAAAATGTTTCTTAAAATTTGGGCGAGCGATTTAGTAGGAGCGATATTTATTTAGAGTTTATTTAGATATTCAATTGTAGGTTTACAACCTACCAGGACGCGCGCTGAGTTGGACTCGTCGACGGTCCAATATATGGAACAGATATTTTACGAGTATCACCCGTTAAGATATTCAATTGGAGTATTGAACTATTTAAGCATAAGCATTATCAAACCAATAATTTGACAGGTCTGGGCAGTGGGCACTGTACTGGGACCATTACATCCTAATTTTATATTAATAGATGGCCCCAACCATTTCAAACACTTTTAATGACCTAAGAACTGGCCATGGTAGGCATGATAAAATTATCTTTATACTTACGTATCACTAAATCGACTTAATTCAATACATTAAAAAATATTGGTTAATTTCCAGACTGATTGAAGGTTCAACCCAAATAATTCTTTGTAAATTTTGGATTTGAGCAATTTTTTAGATTATCTGTATTATGAAGTTTTGAAGTTCTTGCAGGATAGAATTATCATTTGAATATAGTTTTAAAGTAATTACAACACTCAAATCTATTACATTTATTTAGGACGTTACAGAAGTAAGTAATTTATTGTAGTTTGAGGAGTCCTCACTGGCGTTTCTCTTGTCGCTAATATATGTGATCAATTGTAAACTTGAAATTACTGTAGGTTCACATTTGCATCATATGGTTTAATTAGTTTCAAAGCTATGAACAAAGTAAAGTTGGTACTCCTAGCAGCAATGGACCACATTATGCTGATGCATTCATTCATTCTGTTCCCATATCCTTTAAAAATCCAAAGAACCACTTTACCAAACCTCAAGATCAGGGAGTGGCTGTTTTTCTCAAATAAAGAATTGTAAGGTCAAAAAAGTTAGAGCTGTTTAAAGTCCCAGTTTTACTAGTAATTACAGGTAAACCTCAAAATTTGGCGCGTAATATCTCAACAATGCAAGGTCAGACTTTGATCCGTTTTTTGTCTCCAGCAGCTCTATCACATGTGTGTAAACTAAAAAATTTGTGTGACTGATAAGGCCTCATTCTTATTTCAAGTGTATTCAAGTCGCCAAACCTGTAGCAGAAAACTCAAATTGTTGCACGTAAGAGCCTCTACTAAAAGTCTGATGTGTATTTACTTCACCATAACCATTAATCAACATTTTCTTCAAATTCTGTAAGTAAGGTTCCTCATGATCATAACTTTTATATGTTGTTCAACCCGATATCCATGTAATTCTAAAAACACCTGCTTATTATAGGCAAACATGCCGGAAGCAACCCCAGATGAGACTCCAGTATGCTATGCCATGTCAAAGTTTCTGGACAACAGTGGGTTTCTGAACATTCAGCCACGATCTGGTTTTCCATTGGAGGTTCTCAATTTCTGGCAGTATGTGGGAAAATACCCCATTAGTGCAGCTGGGTAAGTGGAAATATCTTGTGTCCACATTAGAAATATATAGCACTGTGCAACATTGAACAACTGATATATCTAATGTAATTTCTTTGTTATTTTATTTGATGGCACCTATCACCTTAATAATACCAAGAAATCCGTGTGTGTGTGTGTGTGTGTGTATGTTTGAAATTTCCGAACGGTTATACAAAATAAACGGTAAGAGTTATGGGACTGGTTTTTTCGGTATAGTGCCGACAAAACTCTGACGAAGCCAATAAGCAAATTTTATAAAAATCGGCCGGTGGTAAGTGGCTTAATTGATGGTTTTGTACTATTAATGCAACATTATGGAGTGAGCCACTAAAATGGCTCACTTTTTCTTCCTATTCGCTCTCTTTGTAGCGATGGTAATTAGGTTAGCTCCGCAAGTGATATTAGGAGTGTACTTGGGCACTGATTGTGGTCTGTTTAAACTGTAGAGAGAGTTCATACTTTCATACGACAATGTTTATGCATATAATACTATAAGTTTATTAGGGGGGGGGGGGGGGAGCCTTCATTTGCGGTCGGTTTGTTTACTTTTATACGACAATGTAATGCATGTTTTCAAATATAAGGCGGGTGTGGTGCGGAGTTAATAAGGGTTAATTTCTAAAACGATTTAAAGCGGTTTAAGACGGGAGTGATGAGGTGTAATAGTCGTGGTACAGATACTATTGGATATGTGAGGGAACTCCGAATAGAATTGCTCACCTAATGCGGGTTTTGAGTCAGCGGGTAATTACTCCTACCCTTTTTAACTGCGGCAGTGAAATCCCGGCCGAAGGCCGGGTTACACTAGTATTTCTATAATATCACAGTTATGAACATTTGTAGGAAATTGTTTATCTGAATTTTGATATTTTCAGGTTAATGATAAATTTGACAAGCAGACTGATCTCATTAGAAACTAGTCACGGTTAGTGCAAAGTTAAAACTGTTATCATTCCATTACAAACTCATTAAGTTGGTCACCAGCAGGCTGTTAGTCACCTGATAATCACATGTACTTCACTCTAAATAACTGTTCAAGTAGGTGGTGGTTCTATCACCTCCCTGAGTTTTGCTGGTGTATTTCCGTCTCCACAGGTGCAGATCCGTGGAGGGTACTGTTTAAGTACATCACGTTTACTCCAAATAAGGTATAATCGGTATCACGTGACGATTCCGTTTCCTGGATGAGTGTCAAGCCCTTGATCCCCTGGTGGTGTTAGCCAGCAAACCATGAATTTACTAATACTGTCTGCTTCGCACCAACACTGTAACCTTGTCAAGGCTCTGACTGTTCGTGTTCCACTACTGGTGTAAGAGGTGTTGAGTAATGGATAACAAATAGATGTATAATCTCAGTGAAATGATAGCACCAATAACAACGGTATTTCATCACGTCATGTCAACTGGTAGTTGCTACGAAACTTCTTGTTTGTGTCGCTGCTGATCAAAGGAATTAAACAGCTTTATCAGCCATACTAATACACCAGATCTCCAGTAAAACCATACAACCATACAACCAGATCAATGGAGAGGAGCTGTTCAGTCGGATACTTCCCTGCTTAAACTGGGTTACATTGAGAATAACGAGAGATGGTAGAGAATATGTTGTTTGATCCGAATAATAACACCCAGCATTGAGTCTCCTGATAACCACGCTGCACTTGTATGGTAGAGAGAGAGAGAGAGAGAGTAATAACACTAATGTATTCCAGACTGGACCTGGCAACAGCTCAAATAATTCTCCTTCTTTTCTGTCTGATATTGCTACAATTTAGTTATAATATTCAGCTCTCTCTCCACAGTCACGTGGAGGGAGAAAGAAAGTTTAATTACAGGCAATGCCATTGCCTGAGTATATAATACAGAATATGAGGAATCTAATCAGCAAATGGTTGTGTTAAAATCTTGACAGTTTGAGTGTACTCTACGGTATAGGTAGTGTGTAGAGTATTTTGTGGTTTTCAAATCAAATCTTTAACTCGTACCATATTTTAGCTGCCTCTGTCTTCTCAGGCTTTCACAGCTGTACGATGTACGCCCTTTTCTATACAGAGCTATATAACAGTATAATATCTTTTAAGTATCTTCAGCAATCTCTTAAGGAGTTGTGACGATGTTAATGTACAAGAGATATGAAGATCACAATCAGTGAGGAGAGGTCTGACGTTAATGCCGTGTCACGTGATCATTCGAGTCACGTGATCATTCGAGTCACGTGATCATTCGAGTCACGTGATCTACTATCCCTCTTTTTACATATCAAATCTTCTGTGTACCAGGTTATAGGGAAATATAAGTACTTTAAATAATATAAGGGCGAGACAATATAGCAATCACCTGATGTCTGGAGCAATTAATCAAAACAGCACCCCTATAATGTTAGGAATATTATCTCCTGGTATTTCAGTACAATATACACTACAATATTTAACTACCTTCAATACCGTGTTCTCTAATGTTCTCTAGTGTTCTCTATTCTCTAAACACATGTTCTTTTGAATACTCCTCTCACAACACAGCACATAGAGTATGTTAGAGTATGTTAGAGTATGTGTACTTGGCAGTTAGCCAAGAGAAAGAGTGATAATCAGATGATTAAGCTATTGTTCAGGTTTGTATGCCACACTTGCATTCTACCGTCCTACTGCACTCAGTCCTAGTTAGGTGTCAGCACTACACTACATATACCGGCCTACCATCCCACACATCCTCACTTCCACACTTGCATTCTACCGTCCTACTGCACTCAGTCCTAGTTAGGTGTCAGCACTACACTACATATACCGGCCTACCATCCCACATCCTCACTTCCACACTTGCATTCTACCGTCCTACTGCACTCAGTCCTAGTTAGGTGTCAGCACTACACTACATATACCGGCCTACCATCCCACATCCTCACTTCCACACTTGCATTCTACCGTCCTACTGCACTCAGTCCTAGTTAGGTGTCAGCACTACACTACATATACCGGCCTACCATCCCACACATCCTCGGCTTTGATCAAATAATTTGAGGCACAGTGTATAACACTATAACTATAGTTGGCATTTCTGTTGGACAAAAACGTTTTGGCAATATATTGGCAGTTGGGATAGTGCTAAGCACTCTAAACTATAAAGGTGCATGGGAATGTTGGATTATGGTATGGTTGTCATATTGTTGGTGTGGCGTCCGCAATATTATCAGTCGCCTTTGAAAATCTACTACAGATTTTCTTTCTGTATATCACTATACAGTTCCTCTTTAGAAAAAGTGCATGTGACAAGTAACGAGACAAGGATGCTCTAGGATCAGGAGCGACAAATGATCAATTGTTCTAGACGTGAGGCTTTCTGCAGTAACGGCCCTAGCGAACAGGGGGATGGTTGTTCGCTTGAGTACTATGATGCGGTTATACAAGTCTGGCAAAACAATTTGTGACCTGCCTATTGGCCGGGCGCCGCCGTAGACTCAACACATGGTGTGTGGGGTATTTACCTCGGGCACACACCTTAATCTCTCGACCGGCGGGTCACACCCAAATCTCCTGCTCCAACTCTTTCAAAGGCTGGTACCCTACTACTACGTGGCCAGAAGGAAATTCTTGTAGGAACTCTTAATGTACGAACAATAAGAGAACAATACAAGAGGGATGAGCTGGGTGTATGCATGAGGGATAGTGGCGTACATATTTTGGGCATTCAGGAGCATCGGGTAGTACATAGCACTGAAATCGAGTATCAAGATCTTGGAAGCTCTCACCTCATAACAACTTCGGCATGGAGAACCAGCAATGGGGCGGCTGCTGGTGGGGTTGGTATTGTCTTGGACAAAAATACAGTATTCAACTCATTGATTAGTGTATACTCACATGACAGGAGGACGATGGTAGCCAGCTTTGCAGGGAACCCGGTCACAACTGTTATTGTGAGTTATAGCCCGACAGAGGGGGCGACTGTCGACGAAGCAGAAAACTACTACGACAGCCTTGGTGGTGCCATCGACCAGATACCAGCCCACAACTTACTATTCGTTGTAGGAGACCTCAATGCGCATGTCTCATCATCAGGAAACTGGACATCCTGGTCTAAACTTAAAACTGATATCGCTCTACAAGAGAGGTACACAGTGGAAGTTAAAAACCGCTTTTCCATACTTGAAAAGGATGATCAGACGGCAACAGAAAGGTACCAATGCTTTATTGATGCGAATAGGACAACTTCTCGACTTTTACTACCTGAAAAGGAGAAAAAGAAAAGATGTAAAATCTCAGCGACTCCAAGTGTTGAGATTGCCAGGCTGAAGCTGAGGGAATGTAGCATAAAATACCACTCAGATGCTACAGAAGACAACCGAATAGCTGTTCAAGAGGGCAAACAGAAGCTAGGCGATGCTTATCAAGCAGCCAAAGAGCACCTGCTGGAGGGGCAGGTCCGGGAACTGGAGGAAGCAAGTTGGCAGGGCAGACATGCTAAAAGCTGGACCATGATCAACAAGATCACAGGTAAAGCTCCATCATATACTGGCAAAATCAAGGGAAACTCACCAACGGAAAGGGTTCAGAAATGGAAGGACTATTTTGCTACTCTTCTCGGCTCACCACCGACGGTAGAGAACGCGGAAGAGGATATTGATCCAGTCCACCCACCTCTGAATATCGGAACAGAACCGTTTACGTTGGATGAGTACAGGAAAGCAAAGTCCAGCATAAAGGAAGGGAAAGCATGGGGTGACGACAACATAGCCCCAGAAGTCTTAAAACGATGCGACCTTGATCAAATTGTCTTAGACTTCTGTAACAATGCTCTATTGAAAGGTGAGAAACCAGACCAATGGTCAACTGCCAACATCATACCAATTCCAAAGAAGGGCGACCTTAGCGAACCAATGAACTATCGGGGAATAAGCTTGTCATCCCTAGTTGCCAAGTCTCTAAACAAGATGGTTCTAAACCGGTTGAAGCCAGAAATCGAGACAATTCTGCGTAGAAACCAGAATGGATTCAGACCAGGAAGGTCAACAACTCAACAGATATTGGTACTGAGACGTCTTATAGAGGGTGTCAAGAGTCGGAAACTGCCAGCTGTTCTGACATTTATAGACTTTAAGAAGGCTTTCGACAGTGTACATCGTGGGAAAATGCTAAAGATTCTAGAAGCTTACGGCATTCCAGTCAAAATCGTGCAGCTTATACGGCTCATGTACGAGAAGACAATGGCCAAAGTCCTAACTCCAGACGGAGAAACTGAATTGTTCGAGATACTTGCAGGTGTGTTACAGGGTGATACCTTAGCACCTTACCTCTTTGCAATAGTCATCGACTACTGTATGAGGCAAGCCATAGGCGATGATGCGGAGCGACTTGGACTCACCCTCGAACGTAGAAAAAGCAGAAGAGTGGGGCCCAAGATCATCACCGATGTGGACTTTGCAGATGATATAGCACTTATATCTGAGGACATGGACAAGGCTAACGAGTTCCTGCTCAGAGTAGAATCGGCGGCAGCAAGCGTGGGACTACACATAAACGAAGGCAAGACCAAGGTCATGACACTGAATATGGAGGATCGATCTAGCGACCTACAAAGTCGATCCGGGGAAGCCATAGAAAATGTAGATGATTTCATCTACTTAGGCTCCTGGATTGAGAGCACAGATAGGGAGATAAGGGTTAGAAAGGGAAAAGCGTGGGGTGCCCTACATAGACTGAAGGATATCTGGAAATCCAAACTCTCAAAGAGCCTAAAGATTAGATTGTTCATAGCGGCTTGTGAATCAGTACTGCTCTACGGATCAGAAACCTGGACACTGACAAAGGCTCAAGAGAAAAGTTTGGACGGGACATACACAAAGATGTTGCGTATGGTGCTGGGTATCTCATGGAAGGACAAGGTCAGCAATATAACTTTGTATGGTAGCCTCCCAAGGCTGTCAAACAAGTT